AAATATTTTTTAGAGGATTTCATAACTATTTTTGTGTTAAAAATTTATCTGGTGGTCACAATTACAAATTTAAGCTGCAGGTGGAGTCACATAATGCAAGCTCAGAGAATTCAATGTTTGGGATAGCCACAGTCAGTTGCACTACAAAAAGTAGGAAATAATTTAATTTTAAAATATTTTAATATAAATACGCTAATTTTTTTCGCCCATTCACTGAAAGGTTATCTACAATTTTACCAAAAATTATACAACATAAGCAATTCATAACTTATCATTTCATGGAGTGTAACTATATGAGACCAGTACTAAGTCTCTCCTCAAATTAAATGTATGCTATAAATTCTATGTAATATATTACATTACGTTGTTTAGACGACTGTCCCAGTATCACCGCATTTCATCATAGTGCCTATCAAAATCTACCATTACTCTTTCGGGAGTTCTTAGATACAAGAGCTCATGATATTAACATCTACAACGAGCTAGGTGAGAGTGGTCTGTCTAAAGCTTGTGCAGCTGGCCATAATGATATGGTACTTACTCTGTTGCAATACAGAGCAGATGTGAATTTACCAAACATGTTCACTAGAATTACACCGCTGATGACTGCTGCTTACCATGGACACGGTGATATAATAAGAATATTGGCTCGCAATGATGCYGATGCTACTTTAAAAGATATGTGCGTTCGACTGATCAATAATTTCAATATTTTTTTTTCACCATATCTAGTTAAATTATCTTTTATTATATTTACCATGTTTTATTTAGAAATTTAAAAACAGCACTTCATTATGCAGTCGATGGATCTCATAATGATGCAGTTAAAATGCTTCTGGAAGGAAATTGGAGTGATGTAAATTCCATAGACTCTAAAGGTTGGACTCCTTTAATGAGAGCAGGTAATTGTACTTAGATTATAAAACTATCAATAGATAAATTCATAGGTGCGAATAGTTGGGGGTGGCTTCAATGGTATTGACACTCTAATTTCAAAATTAGCACCCTCAAATAATGTTCGTGTTTAAGTAACAAGTAACAAAAACTTCTCCATACAGAAAAATAAAAACTAAGATGAGAAAATGCATAGCTTAACGCCCTTAGTTTTTTTTTTAATTGTAATTATGCCTATGAATAAATTACTGATTAAAAGTTAAAATTTTGTAAAAAATTTTTTTAATAAAATCTTAGACAATCATCTAGATTAGTTGTTATATTTAGTATGTCTGATCTTATAATATATTTGATATATACATTTGTAAGTATCATAATACAATGCTATTATTTAATTTTAACTAAATATATTTTGTTGTTTAGTATTAATGTTTTCCAATTCGGATGTGATCAAGACCCTTATTTCATATGGTTCAGATTTAAGTATTAAAGATAAAAATGGTCAAGATATTTGGCAGTTGGCTCATTTATCAAATAATTGGAAAGCTCTAAAAATATTGCCAGATTGAATTAAGTTTTTTCATGATTTATTATAAGAATGAAAAAATATGTTACTTTAACTTGATAATTTTTTACATCTAATGTATGTCTATTAGATTTTTCAATACTCAATGTATTAACAATAATTCAGTATTATACAGAGTATTATAAGTTAATAATATTATAAAATAGCTATGTTTAAAGAAAAACTTATCAGTGAATAATTATACAATAATAGCGTATAATAATATAAATAAATTATATTACCAACATTTTAAAATTAATTTATTTTACACATTATTTAAATACTTCCAAGTTATTGTTTAATTAAAAGTATCTTAATATACATGTTACAGAAGTTTCTTGAAATAATGAAAGAAAATGTACTTACTTATATAAAAGAAAACATATTTAGGATAATTTTACAATCAAATAATAAAACGTAAAATTATTTAGTTAAATGTGGAAGAAATCTTGAAGCATAGTAGCTCTTCTTTTCTCAGCTATATCCATCTGATTTTCTAGATCACCTCTATCGGTAGTTTCTGCTCTTTCTATTTTCCATGATAAATTTTCAATTTCAGCTTCCAGTTTGGCTTGTTGATATTCAAAAAGTTCCTTCTTTGGTCCATTATCCATATAATATGCATATGGATAAGTATATTGAAGAGTGTACCGGCATTTGGCTAGTAGAGCAGCAGAATCCAATAGATACTGCCAATCAATCCAGGTACCTTTACTTGTCATCACTTTACTATTTATCCTTTCTTTGATTTTATCAAGCGTTTGTTTCTCCAATTGCAAACTTTTAGAATGATTTTCCCAACGTTCATAGTAATGGAGATATTTTTTTAATGCTTCACGAGCTCTTGCAGATTCTGAACCATTCTGAGGGTTTTCTCTATATTTAGAACAATCATAATACTCAGTGCCATGTGCTTTCCAATCTCCCATACACATCCAGCAAAAATCAAATTTACAACTTAAACACTGCATATGATTACAGCCACCATTTTTTTCAATAAAAATATTACATTTAGGACAATCTTTGGTGTTAGCTGCAATGTAATTTGATGTCTCACTATCATCGGCACATTTGGTAATCCATTTTTTAATAGTGGCACAATCTGTAGGCGCATGATAATCATTTCCGCATTTGAAACAAAATGAAGTTTCACACTGAGTACATATAGCTTTTTTGGCAAGAGATTCTTTAGATTTTATGACTGCATTGCAGTTAGCTCCCGGACAAAAGCGTAGCAATGGATGGGATTTAATATACTCACGGAATGCAAACTGTTGATATTTTTTTCTTAAAATTGGTTTATTAACTGTCGATAAAACTATTTCTTCTGGAACTAATAACTCACAGTTTAATGCCATGCAAGAAAGTTCTGTGCTTACACCTTGTTTGATTTTATTTTCAAAATGACAACGCCAACAGTTATCACAATAACAATGTCCACAAGCCAAACTAGTAATCCCTAATTCTTCGGCTACGGGCCCCACACATACTGGACAAACAAATTTATCTCTTTTTGTTTTAACCGATACTGGGTGTAATGTTTTCATTCTGGATGCAACAAAAAGCTTATCAGCATCTTCATTATACTTCCATAATACTTCTTGAACAGCCCATTTGTTTTCATAAAGTAAAACTTTGGACATTGACGGTGTAACATGTATGCTAGTACACAATTGTTCAACAAGCTCATTCAAAAATTTTTCAACTTCGTCAACAGAGAGGCATTGAACAGGAAAATATTCAGCATCAGGATTGTGTGGTGGACTCATTACATCACGATCGGCATTGTAATAATCTTCATAGTCATCCTGATCGGAGTATTCCATATCCTCATCATCATATTCAGACATGTTTGCCTCTAAAAATGAATGTATAAAATATTTGTTCTACTCGATACCTATAAAAAGATTTAAACAATGAAAATCAAATCTATAATATAACAATATTACTTCTAATAATAGGCACCTATTAAATATTAATTGTATCAGTTATTACAATACCTATAAACAATGTTTTGTATTATGTATATTTTTAAAATAAGTTTTAAACACCTACTAAAGACTATGATGATTGATACTATTAGTATCAAAACCAAAAAAATATATTTTTCTTATTCTCAAATGATTGTTGATACAAAACTGAATGAATTAATAAATTATAAAGATAACTCTCAATAACTATTAAAACATAATAGWAGCCACCAGGTCTTGATATTTATTCTAAAATAGTACTTATAGATGAAAAAAATAATTAAAGATAAAGTTCAATTTAATGTTTTGATTATGAGATATTTAGGGTTAAATAAAATAATTCATCAATTGTATAATAAGGTACCTTCTTACCAACTTTAAACTTGCTTAAAATATAAAAACTAAAAAGTTCTTTCATAATGTAATTGAATGGCTGCATTTTTTACAATCATCTTTAGTAAAAAATATTTTATTTAAGTAAACAAATATAATTCTGTTAATTTCCTTAATATTAATTAGGTCTTGAAAAATAAAAACTATCATAATTTTTTTATTGAATACCTAATAGTACAATAAGAAGTAATAAATTATAACTTGTAATACTTACGGTGGTTTTGGCATATATAATTAAGTAATTATAATATGATGTAGGAACAATGGAGCATAGAATGAAGAAAATTAAAAGTAGCACGATAGTCAAAACTATAACTGTAAATTGTAATAGTAATTCGATTTAAATATGAAACCAAACGGTGTTTATTGATACACAACTTTCTATAATAGTAATAGGTAATATCGATAATTATATAATAAAATTAAAATGTTTGTAAGTACAAAAACACAAAGTTTGGGTGACTATTTAGTTTTAACTTTCAATCTTATTGTATATGTATAGTGTATACTGTTGTATAGTGTAGTATGTACAATTACGATAATTACTACCATATAGTAATAATTAACATACACACAATAAGTGATAAGATGCACTTCAGGACTTAAAAAAAAAACATAACAAAAAAAAACCATAACACATATGGGTCATATTGTAAATGATAAGAACATTGAATCRACATTTTTTATTTTCCATGATAATACCTGAAATTATACCAATTACCATTGACCAGACTAGTACCGCCGAATGGACAAGGTATCGGGCGTACAGACGTCCTATTAAATTTATGTAAACACCTATAATAATATATAAAACGCACAAGTGAGTGTTCCAAAATTAAACACATCGCGAGAACAATGATTCTTGATTCCATCTAACCTAACCTACATAACTATATTTTTAATTTGAAAGGAAACTCTAATTCATCAACGTATTTTATTGGAAAAATAATATAGATTAAATAACATTGATGACATATTAAAAAATTAGTTCAGGATTGGCATATCATACATTATACATAGTAAACAAGTAAAACAACTAAGTAGGTATGTGTTTACCAAAGAACGAAACTACATAAAATTGTTTTATTTTATAATAATATTTAAGAGAACACCTCACCCGCATGTGTTGTCACCGACGCGTCGTACATACAAGTGCGTAGCATAACAAATTTTACGCTAAGCAGTTCACAATATATATCTCCGTTAGTTAAAAATTTAGAGTGAATTGACCTATTATAAAAATTAAAGACAAGATTATTATCTAGGACATCTCATGGGCTTTTTGATATATTTTAATTTTAAAGCGAGTTATAAAGATTTTAAAATTGTAAATTGTATATCTAAAAATACTCACAATTYGCTTTAAAATTAAAATATAATACAAATCACATGAGATGCCCTAGATAATAATCTTTAGTAATAATAAGCCTTTAATTTGTATAATACCTAGGCCAATTCA